TATTATATATATATATATATATTATATATATATATATAGAGAGAGAGAGAGAGATAGATAGAGATAGATATAGAGAGAGGATATAGATAGAGAGACAGAGAGAGAGAGAGAGAGAGAGAGAGAGAGAGAGAGAGAGAGAGAGAGAGAGAGAGACAGAGAGACAGAGAGAGAGACAGACAGAGAGAGAGAGGGAGAAGGAGACACAGAGACAGAGACAGACAGGGACAGAGAGACATATAAAGAGAGAAAGGGGAGAGAAGAAGAGAACAAGAGAGAGAGATAGAAAGAGAGAAATAAAATGAGAAAAGCTACAAGATTCCAATGGAAAGAGGAATAAAAAACAACAGATGCACACAGTAGGTGGAAGTAGACGAGCATTTTGCAGTAGCCTCTGTATACTCGGTCGTATTTTTGGAAAGACACCCTTAAAGCCGCGCTCCGTTCCCCACTACGCGGGATGTCAATATCATGCATGTTCAGCGGCTCATCTGCAATCAAAACAACTCCAATAAAAGGTTTTCTTGTTTTATTCGTCCGGCCGATGTTGAAAAGCGGTAGTTAGGCTGTTGTTTGTCTGTCTTGTCTGTTTTTTTCCTGTTTTTTTTTTATCCTTTTATTCTCTTTTTTCTTGTTTTTTCTTTTTTTTTATTCTTTTTCTTTCTTTCTTTTTTACGCTTCCAATTCAGGAGGACGTGTTTGAATGTTAGGAATGGCTTTGTCTGTTGGTTTACTTGTTTTTGTTCACACGCCAATAAGCGAAATGTGTCCTCTTGATTGAAAGGATTGATATCTTGTCAGCGGTGTAGAGGAATGCAAATGAAGGTGAAATTAGTAATAGTAATGAGTATGAAATTATAAAAATAATGATAATAATAATAATAACAGGAATTTGTATAATAGTTGACGGTAATCGTAATAATTATGGCATTTATGTGATGATAATGATAAAAGTTTTGATAAAAAGAGCATAGGATTATTAAGTATGGTAAAAGTGAAAGGATAATAATGGTAAAACTGTGTATAAAAATAATGTCGATAACGAGAGCATTAGTTATGATGATTGAAATAGAAATGATGATAAAGAAATTGATAATTGGTGCAGTTTTATTGGTATTGATAATGTTATCAATATTGTTATTGCTGTCTTTTTACTGGTATAAGTCTTGCTATAATTGATATTATTTTTGTATCCTCGTTATTTAACAATGGTAGTTACTGATGAGATAGGTATGTTAATATATTTTATTGATAGTAGCACTAGTAGTTCTATTTTTTCATGAATGATAACGATATCAATTATTATTATTATAGCTCCGATTGGTGTTCTTATCAATTTCATCATCATTACTATTGCGACATTATAATATTATGAAAAATCGTTATTATGTATTAGCATTTCTCGATTTTTCCCCTTCTCTTGGGGGGATGAAACATCACGAAATGGGTCTTATGTGTCCATTAAATAGGCAAAGAGGCAGATTTCGTGCTCGACCAAGCAGGCAGATTGGCGGCAGGTTGCAGGCAGATTGGCGGCAGGTTGCAGGCAGATTGGCGGCAGGTTGCAGGCAGATTGGCGGCAGGTTGCAGGCAGATTGGCGGCAGGTTGACAGGCAGACGAACAGCTTGCAGGCAGGTCGGCATAACGTTGACCCGAAACAGTTGGTTTCTTCATCCGGAAATAGAAAAGCTGAGGGACGGGATTGTGGTTAGAAATTGAAGCAAATTAGGAGAAAACGCTGTGAAAAAAATGTATATATATTTCTGTGCATGGTCTTATTCTGTACAAATGTATCCGTGTCTATATACACACAGGTATTTTGTATTGAATTAAGTATATTTGTATAGATAGATGCGTGTATATAAATATATATAGATAGATAGATAGATAGATAGATATGTATAAAAAAAAATATATGTATATAAACATACATATACATATATGCAATTAACCAGCCTTCCATGTGTGTGTGTGTGTGTGTGTGTGTGTGTGTGTGTGTGTGTGTGTGTGTGTGTGTGTGTGTGTGTGTGTGTGTGTGTGTGTGTGTGCGTGTGTGTGTGTGTGTTTGTACATATGTATATATATAATGTGTATATATAATGTATATATATATGTGCGTGTGTATGTATATATACATATATACACACGCACACGCACATGCACACACACACACACACACCACAAACACACACACACACAGGAACACACATACACACTACACACACACTACACACACACTACACACACACACACACACACACACACACACACACACACACACACACACACACACACACACACACACACACACACACACACACACACACACATATACACACATACACACTACACACAGACACACACAAAGAGTATATGCATAACCATTACCATTATGACCATAGTTGCTATTACTCTTACTCCCATCCTCCCTCACATTTTCCTTCTTCCTTCCTTCTATTCATTCTTACTCTCCAGTTCTCACCTATTTTTCTCTTCCCGCAGGTTGCAGATTTTCCCGGACGAGTCCCGCTCCGGCTACCAGGAGACGGAGAAGCTGCACAAGAGAATCATGCACTTGGACGCAGTGCAGAGCGGGATGTTCATCGTCGACTGTGACTCCTACTACACCACGGCACAGAATGGTAAGGAGGGGAGTGAGAGATAGAGAGAAAGAAAGAAAGAAAGAAAGAAAGAAAGATAGATAAAGAGACAGAGAGAGAGAGAGAGGGAGGGAGGAAGGGAGGGAGGGGGGGGAGAGAGAGAGAGAGAGAAAGGGGGAAAGGAGGGAAATAAATGGGGAGAGAGAAAAATGGGGAGAGAGGGAAAGAGAAAGGGGGAGAGGGAGAGAAAGGGGAGAGAAAGAAAGAGAGAAAGGGAACTAGAGTTAGTCTGTTCGTCAGTCTTTGGTATTTGAAGTTTAGTTTTTATGTCTCTGACCTTAATTTATCATGATATTGCCGTGAAAAAGTTGTAGTAAGTTTGACAGAAAGTTAATATTGCTATATATACATTAGAAAGAGTAGGCCGTTACGAGAAGGAATGGTGAAGAAAGTGAGAGTGAGAGAGTGAGGGAGAGAGAGATGTGTGAATGCGTACACGCACACGCACGCACACGCACACGCACACACGCACACACGCGCACACACACACACACACACACACACACACACACACACACACACACACACACACACACACACACACACACACACACACACACACACACACACACACGCACACACACACACACACACACACACACACACACACACACACACACACACACACACACACACACACACACACAGAAAGAGAAAGAAAAAGAGAGATGTGCGTGTATGTGTGCGTGGTTATGTGTGTGTCTGTATTAATATGTTTGTGTGTGTATGTGTGTGTGTGTGCGCGCATATGTGTGTTCCTATATATGTGTGATTGTTTTGTAGATGTGCCTCTGTGTGTGTGTAGGTGCTGTTCTGGATTCTTGCCTCCTGTTGGCCAAGGTCAGTGTGGTCCCCCGAAATATATAGGTCATAGGGCCACAAGTTCCTAAGGTCGTGTGCCACATCGCCTATAAATAGAACTACACGACACGGGGCTTCGTTATTGATAAATCACATGCTACATTATTTTTTTTTTCTTTTCTTTTTCCTTTTCCCTTTCCCTTTTTTCCCATCATTGTAAACAAACAAAGTGAATAGAAAGAAGTGATATATCCCCATGGGTTGAAACTAATATCAAGGAAGGATCAATTGCGCCTAAAGAGATTTATTGGTATATTATGTCTGAGAAAGTGTACATCCCAGCGGAAGGGGAGGGAGGGAGGGAGGAGGGAAGAAGGAGGGGGGTAAGAGGGGGGGGAATGAGGAGAGAGGAGAAGGGAGAGGAGGGGGGTAAGAGGGATGAGTGAGGAGGAGATAGGGAGGAGGAAAGAAGGATAGTGGTAAGAGGGGGGGGTGAGGAGAGAGAGGGAGGAGGGAAGGAGTGGGGTAAGAGGGGGGGGGGATGAGGAGAGAGAGGGAGGAGGGAAGAAGGAGTGGGGTAAGAGGGGGGGAATGAGGAGGAGAGAGGGAAGAGGAAAGAAGGATAGTGGTAAGAGGGGGGGGTGAGGAGAGAGAGAGGGAGGAGGGAAGGAGGAGGGGGGTAAGAGGGGGGGAATGAGGAGAGAGAGGGAGGAGGGAAGAAGGATAGTGGGAAGAGGGGGGGGTGAGGAGAGAGAGGGAGGAGGGAAGGAGGAGGGGGGTAAGAGGATGAATGGGAGGAGATAGGGAGGAGGAAAGAAGGATAGTGGTAAGAGGGGGGGGGGGTGAGGAGAGAGAGGGAGGAGGGAAGGAGGACGGGGGTAAGAGGGGAATGTGGGGGGAGAGGGAGGAGGGAAGAAGGGGGGGGGTAAGAGGGGAATGGGGAGAGAGAGGGAAGAGGGAACAAGGAGGAAGGTAAGAGGGGGGGACGGGGTGAGAGAGGGAGGAAGGAAGAAGGAGAGTGGTAAGAGGAGGGGGTGAGGAGAGAGATGGAGGAAGGAAGGAGGAGGAGGGTAAGAGGGGGAATGGGGGTAGAGAGGGAAGAGGGAAGGAGGAGGGGGGGAGGGGGAGTGGGATGCTGTGAGGAAGCTTTACGACCTCTCTGGTCTACGTAATGTTTCTGAGCAGGCGTATATTTCGACTCAGCCCCGTGGAGTAATGGCGGCCGTGTGTCATGAGGTATGCTGCATTAACCTCGGGTATGCGGGGTGAGGAGGGTGATAGTGGGAAGGGGGGGGGGAGGCATGAGGGGACGACAATACTGATTATGCTGGAATCGCTGGGATGCTTTTAGAAGGCAGCCAAATGGCCCTGTCGCCCGGAGTTCGCAGCATGCCCTCGCGGGATGCAGCGCTGGATCGCGGTGGAGCTGCTGGCGGTGCAGAGGCAGCTTTTATTACATGTGTGTATACACACACACACACACGTACACACATACATACACAAACATATTAGCACACACACGCACACGCGCACGCACACGCACACACACACACACACACACACACACACACACACACACACACACACACACACACACACACACACACACACACACACACACACACACACACACACACATATACATACATGCATGCATGCATGCATGCATGCATACATATACATTCATGCATATACATACATACATATATATTCATGCATATACATACATACATATATATTCATGCATATACATACACACATACATACATACATACATATATATTCATGCATATACATACACACATACATACATACATACATATATATTCATGCATATACATACACACATACATACATACATACATACATATATATTCATGCATATACATACATACATACATACATGCATATACATACATATACATAAATACACATACATATATATACATAAATACACATTCATACATATACATTCATACATACATACATACATACATACATACATACATACATACATACATACATAAATATATATACACATACTGACACACACACAAACATATATTCACACACACAAATTTGTGTGTGTGTGTGTGTGTGTGTGTATGTGTACAGATATACATATATGTATATTTACACATATATGTATATATACATAAATGTATATATACATATAAATACACATATACATGCAAATACATGCATACATATACATACATACATTCATACATGCAAGCGAGCGGCGGCGAGCGGCGGGATCGCGGGATGTTTGGAAATCAAGAATTTTACCAAAGGCGCGAGTGGTTGTCGTTTTGGCGCGAAGTTGGGTCGTCTGTGAGTGTGTTTTCCATCGCTTTTGTTCGTGTTTTAGTGGGGTAGGTTGACGTGGTTAAGGGGATTTGGATGCTGATGGAGAAGTAAATGGCATATGGTGGTTATGTTAGTTTATATGTGTCTGTGGTAAGTTATTATTAAATGATTAAGATGATGATATTTTTCTGATGGTAGTTCAAACCTTTTCTTTTTTTGAGATTAAGTCACGGTGTACGTAGATATACAAACATGAGCACGAGTAACATTGCATTCACAACGAGGAAAAGGATAAAACTCGATATTGCAGCAAACTGTTTCCTGCCATGCAGTGGATTGGACCAGAATGCCTTTTTTTACCCAACTGGTCCACAAACACACATAAAAAGGACGAGTGGCTGATGTGGGGAAACTGTAGCTGGCTCGAAAGAAGGGGAGAGGCGCGCGCGTCCTCGAGCCGGACCGCCGAGGGGAGCCAGGCGGTCGGCGCGAAGGGGACGGAGGGGGAATGGAGGGAGAGTGGACGCCGCGGGAGATGACGGGGCAGGCGGCGCCCTTGATGCGATGCCGAACAGATAACTCGCCGTCGAGTGTCCGCCGGAGGAAAGGCGCGGGCGGAGCGATGCCGGACGCCGGCGTGAGGGCGGCCGAGAGCGGGTTTGTGTTCCGGCGTGAAAGTGTATTGATTGTCGCCATCAGCACGTGCGGGGAGAGTGGGGTAGGCGGGGGGGGAGGGGGGTGCACACCCGCTCGCGGCAAGGTCACTGTGCCACGGGTAGAGGGGTTGCACGGGGGGGAGGCACCGTCCGGGTCATTCACCTTCTTCGCTTGATCAGAGCCAGGAAGTGAGAGGAGAGGAAAGTAGAAGGAGAAAGAGGAAAAGAGAGTATAACAAAAAAAGGGTAAAGCGAAAAAAAATAAGAGGAAAAAAAAATAAAACTGAGTTAGAAAAAAAGAAAAAAAAAGAACAATTCCGGAGATGATCAGGGCCAGAAAGATGTTTCCCGATGACTTCCGGTCGCCCAATGCTCCCGCGCCCGACGACGATCGAAAGGTCAAGCCGCGCGCCGCCCGAAAGGTCAAGGTTACTATACTCCGTCAACAGTGTAAATTTACGCACGTGGATGTACGAGGGAGGAGGAGGAAGTGAGGGGAGGCTGTGGGGAAGGTCATTAGGTCCAAGGAAAGGAAAGTTTCGCTCATTTCTTCATCTTTATTTCGGTTTTCTCCGTCTCTTCTTACCTGTCTCTCGTTTTTCTCTGTTTGTGCTTCTCTTCCTCATCCCCTACATCATACTTCCTTTCCTCTTCTCCCTTCTTTCTACATTTTCCTCTTCCTCTTCCTCTTCTGCCTCCTCTTCCTCCTCCTCTTCTTCTTCCTCCTCCTCCTCCTCCTCCTTCTCCTCCTCCTCCTCCTCCTCCTTCTCCTCCTCCTCCTCCTCCTCCTCCTCCTCCTCCTCCTCCTCCTCCTCCTCCTCCTCCTCCTCCTTTTCCTTCCTCCTCTTCCTATTCCTTCCTCCTCCTATTCCTTCCTCCTCCTCCTTTTCCTCCTCCTCCTCCTCCTCCTCCTCCTCTTCCTATCCCCCCTTTTCTTCGTCGTCTTTTCCCTCCTGTCTTTTTCACATCATGTCAAGTGAGTCCTGCAGATGAAAGCGCATCACTGAATGCTGATAAGAGCCATTGCAACGCTGAGGGAGACAATATGTATTGCAGAAATTAGAGGTAATATGGAGTGATCGTATTAGGGTTTTGATAATGATTGTCAAGTTTTAATCATAACTAGGAGATATTACTAGTATCGGTACTAGTACTAGTGGAAGGGGTAGTAGAATGCGCTAATAGTAGTGGTGGTAACAGTGCCGATGAGGACAA